TTTTTTTTTTTTTTTTTTTGTGAAGAATGTTAACCTTTAAAAAAAAAAAAAACAAGTTTAGGGTTTCATCGTCCCAATTTCAACATGATTAAGGCTTGCATAGCAGTAGGATTACGTCCTATGGCAAAAACATAAGCATTAAGGATCAACTTGAAATTTCATTAAGGAACAACTGTATTTAACCAGTAAAAAAATTAATATAATGAGTACAAAATATCCTTAGGCACAACGTTTCATATCAATCTCATACCTGAATTCACATGCAGTGCAAGTAAATAATAATGAGAAGAGAACTGGCAATAGGACAAAAGAGGTGGAAATGAATATGTCACGGGTGCTTCATGTTATGCACCTTACTACACCCAAAATATTGCTAAAAAGGTCCCATACTATTCGTGATGGTCCACCATGGACCATACATGATTCAAAATAAGTTCTTTGACCGTCAACCATGTAAATATTATTCGAAATCCAATTTAATTCAAAGACAATTTTCACCGGAATTTATTTTACATTAATCAATCAACTATGATTTGTTTCAATTCGATCGTACAACTTATATTTTTTATTTCAATTTGATCATTTTGTCGGTAAGTTACCCAAAAATAATGGTCAGTGCCACGTGATTTATATATGGAGTGCTTCGTTTGATGATTGTGTTGTGACTAAGAAAAACTAAAATTGAACCAAATCGAACCGAACCGATCCAATCTAGTCTGTTTAGTCCATGGGAAAAATGGCCACTCTATCTATAGGTAGTTTATTACTAGCAGCGTCAACAACTGGAAATCATGTGATAAAAGTGGCATATCTTCATTATATAACAAAACCAATTCGCTTTCCGCAATACATTGGTTTTTCTTCCTTTAGCCAAAAGTAACACTTTATGCAAATTTCTAATTAGTTCAAATACCAAAAGGCTGCATTTGTACAAAGCCTGAGGCCCAACTAAAGCCTAAAGAAGCTCATACGTGCTCTGATCAACAATCATGGCGAGCACAATCCGTGATCGTGATGATTCCGACTACTACGAAAGCAGCAGCTGCTCTTCCACAACGGTGCCAGATTCCACCCGGAGTTGGCTGAGCAGCCTCAGCTTCGGCAGCCACCGGTGTTCCACCTCTGCCTCCCTTTCATCCTCCTCTGACAACCCTTTCTCTAGCAAGCCACACAAGGCAAATCAAACAGCTTGGGAAGCCATGAGGTTGCTCCGCCGTGAGAAAGGCCAAGTAGGGCTGGAACACTTTAAACTTATCCGCCGGCTAGGCGGTGGTGATATCGGAAATGTGTATCTTTGTCAGATGAGAAACCCTGTTGAGGGTTTACAGCAGTGTTTATATTCCATGAAAGTGGTGGATAGAGAAGCTCTTGCCATAAGAAAAAAGCTTCAAAGAGCAGAAATGGAGAAAGAGATTTTGGGTATGCTTGATCATCCATTTCTACCAACTCTATATGCACAGTTTGATGCATCTCATTACTCTTGCTTGGTTATGGAGTTCTGCCCCGGCGGAGATTTGCACGCCGCCCGGCAACGCCAGCCGGGGAAGCGTTTCAGCATTTCATCGGCCAAGTAAGTTTGTAATTTTTTCACATTTGTTATAAATTTCTGATTTTGTGTAGTTGTTCTTATGCTTGCTCAAAGACCAAGACTTTACTAAAAGTTTCTCGTACTTATTTAGGATATCATGTTTGGTAGAAATTCAAAATGAACAATTAATTTTAATCACAGGGTCCACAACTTTTCAACTACATATTTCATCAGTTTTTATTAAAATCTATTAAAAAATCTAATTTTAATCCCAATTGAACAGGAGCTTAAGCTATATTGATCAATATTATATAAAGTTTAAATCTATTGTATAAATGGGGGCTCAATTAGGGACTAAGTGAGTTCAAATGTAAAATAGAGCTAGCTCAAGTTCTAAGGAAGTGACGTAGTTGCCTAAGGCTCCATAACAAAAATAAACAAATTAACCGTTGTTGACAAAATTACGTCAATAATGAAATAATAATTAGAAAATACTTTAATTATATGATTAATATTTTGTCAAAAATTTTAAAAAATAAATAATTTAAAATTCAATTTTTCTTTACATTATTGAAAAACAAATCAATACAAATAATAATAATAATAAATTAACAATGTTTTTTAAAATACAATGTAAGAAAATAACATAACAATCTGTAATACAAAAAGTAAGAAACGTCTTAATTTAAGAACGAGTATTACATATGTAACTTAGTGAACAAAAAATAAATAAATAATTAAACTTTGATCAATGACGCCAATGCTAATAACAAAAAGGCTACTACATTGGCAATATTCTAGTTGTGCATACCTGAATAAAATGCGCGCAAGTCTCCCCGTATTCCTCTAGTTGCTGGGGGAGGTGGTAACGGTATGTTGCCGTATCCATAGAAAGCATTGCGCGGATATTCATCCAAAATTCGACACATAAACAAAGTCAAGTCTAAAATTAAGAACGATGGTGTATTTGAATTTGTTTTCATTCTAAATAGCTTTACCATCTCAACGGTAGATGGAATATTGTGTCTATTCTCAAGTATTCGTTAACAAATTAACAGATAATTAGAAAGTTATTTGTTAATCCAGTGTATCGTGCATTTTCATACATGCATTTCAGGTTTTATGCAGCAGAAACTCTTTTGGCCATAGAGTATCTCCACATGTTGGGCATTGTTTACAGAGATCTTAAGCCAGAAAATGTTCTTGTTAGAGGAGATGGTCACATTATGCTTTCAGATTTTGATCTCTCTCTCAAATGTGAAAGTGTCCCCAAACTCATAAGATCTAAACTTGAGCAAGAAGCTGCCATTCACAAAAATCCCAAGTGCTCAACTCCCTCTTGTGCCATGCCTATACAGCCAGTGCTCTCATGTTTTTCAACTTCCATGAAAGAAGGTATTATCACATCATATTATTAAATTATAATTACTACTCAAGTAACTCAACTAGTCAACTGTATTATATAATTTTGTTATTTCTTGCCAGGTCTAACAAAAGACAGAACTCAAGGTCCAACAATTCCAAAACAGAAGGATGTCCAACTATACAATACTGAATTAGTAGCAGAACCTATTAATGCTCGATCAAAATCCTTTGTCGGAACACACGAGTACTTGGCACCAGAGGTCATCTCCGGGCAAGGACACGGAAGTGAAGTAGATTGGTGGACTTTTGGTGTGTTCTTATACGAACTTTTGTACAGTACAACACCGTTTAAAGGAGAGAACAATGAGAAAACTCTCATCAATATATTGAAGCAACCATTGACGTTCCCAAGAATGGGAATCAGTAGCAGCAAAGAATACGAAGAATTGGTGAAAGTCCAGGATTTAATAAGCAGGCTTCTGGTGAAGAACCCTAAGAAAAGGATTGGAAGCCAAAAGGGCTCTGTTGAGATCAAGAGGCATGAATTCTTCAAAGGAGTGAATTGGGCTTTGATCAGAACCGTTAAACCTCCTGAGGTCCCTTATAATCATCGAAAAGTCAAGGGCAAATCAAACATACAAAAGTTAAGCAAGAAAGAAAGGAATGCAGCGTATGAAATCCCATGTCACTTCGACTACTTCTAATTGTAACTGCTAGAAGTTAACTCATATTGCACTTTAGCTGAAGGTCCGGCTGAACCCCTCCTAAGTCTGTTTTATGTTTTATTTTTGTTATCGAGAAAACGTGCCACTTAGAGTGATTTACACAAAAAAAAAAAAAAATGAAATTTCAGTTTGCAAAATCCTTTATTGCTACTATGGTCGCCAAGTTATTTGAGAAAGCATTTGAGTGATACCGTTCACTTGAGATAATATAAGTTGAATAGTTATGCAGAGAAGCACCCAACTTATATTTAGAATAAGAGAATCTTGTCGAGTATTTTTGGTTGAGGGGTTTAAAATCCAATATCAGTATTTGTCGTTTGTTAAATTAGTAAAGTACATCAGTGATTTGATCACAGAAAAAGCATTAAAAAAGGAAGCTCGATGAGTAAAAAAAATTAAAAGAGCAAAATTTTCATAATATCCCATTTCTTTTTAAATTGATAATTATATTCACACCTTGACACAACTTCTACGTGAACGTTTTTCCTCTTAAGTTTACCACATTTTGAATTCCAGCTTTTCCATCTTTCACAAGATTCACTTTAACTACAATCATTGTCATCAAATACACCCTAATTTGTTTGATAGTACACTTAGGTCTGTTTGATATGACTTTTGAAAAGTCACAAAAGCTCCTTTTGAACTCGTTCGACTAATTTCTTGAAAATGCTTCCGTTAATTAGAAAAGTTTTTAGAGGAAGCTGGTTCAATATAGTTTTCTCTAAAATCGCTTTCAGAATAGAAATGCTTTTAAAAATTAATTTTTAAACAAAAATTAAGATAGTTTCCTTCAAAAGTTTTTCTACTAGAAGCAAAAGCAAAAACAATAATGTCAAATGGACCCTTATGATCGTAAGTGAACAGTGTCAATTTAGGTCAACATGCTGAGTATAGTAACCAAAAAAATTCAGACAAGTAGTAGGCAAAATGATGCAAATGGAAGTGTAAAGAAGAATAACGCGGTATTTTCAACCACACATTCTTCAATAAAATAATATTTTCCATCACATCAATACTTTTTTCTTCTTTTTCAACCATACATTTCCAATCATATCACTATTCAAAATCAATTCTTCCCCCAAAAATCCATACCAAACAGACTCCTAATTTGTTTGATAGTACACTTAGGCCTGTTTGATATGGCTTTTGAAAAGTCACAAAAGCTCCTTTTGAACTTGTTCGACTAATTTCTTGAAAATGCTTCCGTTAATTAGAAAAGTTTTTAGAGGAAGCTGGTTCAATGTAGTTTCCTCTAAAATCGCTTTCAGAATAGAAATGCTTTTAAAAATTAATTTTTAAACAAAAATTAAGATAGTTTCCTTCAAAAGTTCTTCTACTAGAAGCAAAAGCAAAAACAATAATGTCAAATGGACCCTTACGATCGTAAGTGAACAGTGTCAATTTAGGTCAACATGCTGAGTATAGTAACCAAAAAAATTCAGACAAGTAGTAGGCAAAATGATGCAAACGGAAGTGTAAAGAAGAATAACGCGGGATTACAAAAATATTATTTGCGTGCTAATAAGTGATTGAAAAGATATTTGAAGAACAATCTTCAAGGATTTAATCAATATTCATCAAGCAAATGTAAGCGTACACCCATGTCCTATGTTATACAAAGAAAAATAAAAATAAATTATCAAAAACTAAGGATATCCAAGTTCAACAATGATAGGTTAGCATCACATTTCAACTATGTGTCAAATGCATATTGGCTCTCAATCTGCAAACAAAACCCTACAAAAAAAAAAGGGATAATCTCTTAAATCCACTTCTCGATTTCATTTTCCTTGAAATGGAAATCCATTTCCTATTCGGAACCAAATTTTCTCTTTGTAGAAAGAACAATCAATTCTATTACGCTCTTCTTCACATAATAAAGGGCATGTATAGCTTCAATATCGTTCATGGGAATAACTCAATCCTTGAAGAGGAATTTGGCTCGTAATTTCCGTAGCAATTTTAATGCAATCAAGTTTTGCATCACACATTTTTCTCTTAACTTTTGACTTCTAGTCCTCGTATGATAGTTCACTATATGTCTATTGCCACATGTAATTTTGCTCATATTTCACATCCATTATTTAGAAAAAAAAAATGTTTTGAATAGTGATTTTAGAAGAATGTGTGGTTAATAAATAAGAAAAAATTTTAGGTTTACTTGCAGAATATTTTATTTTGTAAATTTGTGACTGAAAATGAGAACATAAAAAAAAGTTTTCAAATAATGATCGTCAAACATCGGCTTTATCATTTAGTCCCCTTAGTGAGAAAAAAAATATAGAATTTTCTGTTCAAAAGTGTTCATTTTACACAAATTTTGAACCATCCAGACATTCTCAACAAGTTAATTATCTAGGATAGGCTCAAACTATTAGAGGACCGAGTGATTTTGATTAAGGCAAAATAATAATTCCATTTAATTTCGAATTTGTCTTTTTTTGGTGAATTGCTAGTCTAATTAGATTGAAAACGGACCAATGATCATAACTCAGGGCCTTTGGCCCTGAAGCACGTCGGATTTTGGGCAGATTCCATCGTTTAAGCTTTCAATTAAGCGTTTTTGCTGTTTATAGTAATTTTTATTTTAGCAATATCTTAGTTAAATAAACAGAATTTGATTTTCGTTTGTTGGGGGATGATCTTGGTGATTAGGTAAATCAAGATCCATCATTATCTCAATTTTTTCTATTTTTGGAAAAAATAATATTTTCTCGTTATTATGTAATTTTTTCGAATTTTCTTAGGTTTTTCGCTATTTAAACGTTGTAAGTCCTTTGAGGCAACCCGGTTTTGAATGAAACAAAGTTCTCTTGAATTTCTCTTCGTTGAAATTCTTTTTGTGTGGATTTTTGTCTTTCTTATAATCTTTCCCTGCATTAGTTGGTATCAGAGTCGAAGTCGTTACATCACCATGCTGTCAAGGAGACGTCAAGAAGCTTATGAAACCCTAGTAGAGGAGGTACATAGACGTGATAAAATCACACAGCTGCTTCAACAAGTGGAGTTGCTGATACAGCAAGTTGCTGCACTTATGCCTCAGCAACAAGCGCTTGGAGGTTGTGGTTGTAATCGTCGTAGGCAGGTTCCGATCGAAGAAGTCCAACACCATGATCGTAATATTCATAGGCAAGTTGCAGAATTAACCCATCGCCTAGCGGCGCGCGATTTGGAGAATCGTGAGATCTCTGATCTCGATTCTTATTCCGCTGTTTTTGAAAATCCCTACCACCAACGTTATCTATGTGAGGATGAAGATTTGATTATGAATGTTCCTCTGTATTTGACAATGAAGACATTGAAGAAGTAACAAAGGAGGAAGAGTTTGATTATGAATGTCCGTTTGTATTTGACAATGAAGACACTGAAGAAGCAACAGAGGAGGAAGAGTTTGATTATTACGGTCCGCCTGTATTTGACAGCGAAGGTGTAGAAGAAACAACAGAGAATGAGGACCATAAGTTATAAGCACCTAGCACACATTTATTCATATTTATAATAAAATAAACTCAACAACTTTTTATAACTAATGTTTATCCAAAAATAGATATCAACTATCTAATAACAAATTAACAACTTTGTATTTATCCTTTGGTTTGAATTTGACAATCTTCTCACTCAAAGATTTTTTGATCTCTTTATCGCTTATTTGATCTTCATCATTTCTGTTGCCAAGTTGTATAACGTTTCTAACATCCTTCAGCAAATTGTGTTGGGGCCGAAGGCATAGTTTGGTTCGAAAAAATGATCTATGTTTTTTATCTTCATTCTTGCGAAGATATGTCACATGTGTATATAAGCATTTCAAGTGCTTCTCGTATTGCATGAGTTGTGTCTAAACCTGTTGTGATAATCCAACCATTAATGAGAGAAATTTCACCGAATAATGAGTTCATTTTTTAATTTTAGTGTGAATTTCCTTTTTGTTTATGTATTATTTGGATTTGATGTGATGTATTTGGTGTAGACAAGGTCTTCATTGGTGAAATGATCAACCTGTTTTTGAATTCATTTGTCAATTTTGGTATATGGAATTTTCTAGTGCTGTTTTGTTTGGATTTGGTGGAATTTATTTGATGGGCAAGGATTAATGAAAGATGAGTATAAAAAAGTTGTCAATATTTACGAACATCAAAGTGATAGTGGAAGAGAAGACATCTGGCATGCAGAGTGCTCACAATGACTCTGATACGAAGAAAAAAATATGAAAATAACTTTAAAAATGAATAAAAAAACTTGATTATAATATTATTGAATAAGTCATGAGAACCTAGTACACATTTATTCTTATTTATAATAAAATAAGCGCAACAACTCTCTATAGCTAGTGTTTATCTAAAAAATAGATAACAACTATCAAATAACAAATTAACAACTTTATATTTATCATTTGATTTGAATTTGACTATCTTATCACTCCAAGATTTTCTGGTTTCCTTATCGCTCATTTGATCTCCATCATTTCTGTTGCCAAGTTGTATGACGTTTCTAACATTTTCTGGTTTCCTTATCGCTCATTTGATCTCCAACATTTCTGTTGCCAAGTTGTATGACGTTTCTAACATTTATCACTGGGCTGATTGTGCTATTAACAGTGGCCTGAATTCCAAGGAGCACGAGACGATCCTGACGAGTCTAGATAAGATATCCAGGGTCGGTTTTCTGTGGGCAAGAATAAGTTCCATCAACAAACCCAAGGAGTCCATAACCAAAGAGAAGATTGGTCATTTGGGACTTCCATGATGAATAATTTCCACTATTCTTTGCAAGCTTGAATGGAATCTGAGAAGAGGCATTAAGAGAAATTAGGTTTCCATTAGCACAAGACATATTACCTTCAGCCATAGTGATTGCAAGTGTTGAAGCAATCACCGACTCAGAAGCTGTTGCTAAGGCTGTTGGTGTTGTGACAGCAGCTTAGGAGTTCTCCATTGCTGTGATTAGAAGAGAGAACACAGCTAGGGTGGGGAAAAGGATCAAACTCTATTCAAAACAGAGAGATCTCTGACACCATAAAGAGATTTGATGAATATTGCATTGTTATTGACATGGATGATTTCAAATATATATACAGGTAAAGGAAATCAATCCCACTAATCTGGTCTATACAATGGGAAATTGAATCAGCTAAATAAGGAGATAATTATAATAGGATTAGAATCAAGGAAAGAACAAAACTCTCCAATAATAAACCTGCTAACTTCGTGCTCTATCAATATGATCAACTCGTTGGAGGGGTACTCAAGCGATGAAGATCAAGACACTATTTTTAAAGCTTACATTGAAGCTTTGAATGCGGATCCTGATCAGTATAGGCATGTATCCTCCATTTTCGATTTTTCCATATTTTATATCTGAATATAAGTGAATTTTGAAGTATTTGTTATTGGATTCAGGAAAAAAAAAGTTCCCAGTGAGTTTGTGGTGAAAATAATGAACATGGCCTTTTTATTAGTCAGGTGTTTGATGAGTCTCTCCCTTTGCTTATCACATATCACTATACATCTGTTAGATTCTTGATTATAAGCTATTGTTAATTATTATTTTCTAGATTATAAGCATTTTATTTTCACTTTTCTTTTCATCTGTCATGGATGATGAGAATTTTTTACTGCTGAATACAGTTTCTCACTGGCTTATTTCTTTGTTTGTGTGACAGCTTTGTGTTGCACTACATGTAGATAAGAAAAGTGTTGATCGTGAGCTTGACATCTATCGTGTTCTACTTTCTGGGCAGGTTCAAGTGAAAGAACTGTTAAAAGAATATGTTGACAGGTAATAATTTCCTCCCAAGTCCATAATCACTTAAAATGTTCCATATAACAATTCAGAGAATCCTTTTGATGTTAGGTAGAAAAAGGAAAGAGAAGAACTGGTAGAATCTCAGAAAGCAAATGAAGCCATTACAAAATGCACAGGAGAATACCAATATGCTGGGCAGTAATGCAAAGTTTATTGCTTACCAACGCGTAAACATCCCAGAGGAACAAACTAGTAAGTTACGGTTATAGGGAAAATAATGAGCAAATTGATTGGGCCCAAACCCACACCATCAAGCCCAAGTGAGGTTCCAACCCAAAACCAATTGGCAATGGGTGGAGTAGCCCACNACTTAGGTACTGTTAGGGATTATTAGGAGCAATTACTCAAGGCCCAAACCCACACCACCATGCCCAAGTGAAGTTTCATCCCAAAACCAATTGGTAATGGGTGGAGTAGCCCACTTGGGTTATATAGTGGATTTCTTTTCTTCTCCCAACCGATGTAGAACTTCTTGTTTGCTCCCAACAATCCTCCTCTCAAATGAAGGACCACGTCATTGTGGCCTCCCCTCAAACGATAATTCATTCGCCAATTATCATGTACCGCCGTTATTACCGTTGCCCTCGACCAAACGGGACCCCCCGCCGCCGACCACCAATGTCAGGAAGACTTTCGACACAAGACACCTCAAACGTGAATGATTTTTAGTCCAATCGTCACCACGCTTTCTACTGCGTTCCTCCGGCCCTGGGCTCTGATACCAGTTGTAGAGAAAATAATGAGCAAATTGACCGGTCAAGCCCACACCACCAAGCTCAAGTGAGGTTCCAACTCAAAACCAATTGACAATGGGTGGAGTAGCCCACTTAGATTATATGGTGAATTTCTTTTCTTCTCCCAACCAATGTGTGACTTCTTGTTTGCTCCCAACAACGGTTTTACCATAGATGACAATAGTTTGGAGTCTGGTGATGGAGAGGAACTATGATGTTGAGCTATAAGATTTTATGGAAAAGTTCGCCATTTTTTGTTTAACTGTAATATTTTCTTTGTACAGCATATTCTCAAGATTTCAAAATTTAACATATACACTTTTTTTCACAAGTGTCTGCTGCTCTGAATTTTGTGAATTCTTGAATTATGGACTCGTCTTCATTTTTGTTATCCCTTTCATCTGCATCGAGACTCATGAAAGACGAGGGGTTGTAAACACTCTTGGATATGCAATCATGGGTGGCAAGCATCTTCATGTGGCTGTGATGAGAAATCTCTACAGTATCGTAGTATACACAAAAGAGTAGTTTCCATGGCTCCCTCATGAATTCTCATGAATGTAGCGTCAGCTGCGCACTTATGAAACTTGAATCTGATTCGATTTGCCTAGGCACAAGAAGATGCAAGTAAGAATCAAATTCACGCATGCTTTCTGCTGTTTTTAAAGGGCTCTTACGTAGATGAGACGGGCTAATGTTCTTATTATGTAGAAATCTTTCTCAAAACTAGCATGTAAAAGGAAGGTGCACAAGTGATTATAAGCCCACAAATCAACGTGGAACTTAACAGCATGACACTCTACTACACGACGTTCACAGGGAGCTACATTTCTAGCTCGAAATCTGCCCATAATTACTACTGACTTTACACATTCCGTGAAATTCACATTATATAAAGGATGAACAGCATTCTTAGCGGCCCCACCTGCCCTGCTTTGGGCCTTGGTGAAGGAGGTAAATCGCAGGTTATGCCTTCAAGGGTATATGGTGGAAGGCTGCGTGTACACTTGCACATACCCAAGAGCCAAATCCATATTTCAGGATTCGAACCCTTAACGCGACAGCCTCAAGTAAAGTTGAAGTTCTTCCACCTTCCCCTTTTACCACTTGGAGATGTGTCCTGGTGGCGAAATATAATCACTCTCAAACATGTTCAGGTGCAAACCCAAATATTTTTAAAGGAATAAATATACTTTACTATTATCAAAGCACTTTAGTCACGAGGCACGAGTCAAATAAAAAGTTGAAACAAAGTAAGAAAACATTCACATTAAGACCAAGAATGAAGAGAATAAGGACAACATTAGAAACTGCCAAATTTTCGACAGCCTTCTGTTTTCACTTTCGCCTCTCTCTCAGATTCCTTGAATATCTTGCCCTTATAGTTTGGTTGTTCTCCACTTTACTCCCGGACCCCTCACTACCCCACTACAAGTTAGGTAAATATTTTTTTATTTGAAGTACTAAAAATACTTACTTTCGAAGTTAGTCTTACTTTGTGGATGAAATAAGTAGCTTAATTAGTTTGAGTTTCGATCATAAAGAAAAGTATTTATTTGAAATGCCTTTACATAATATTCTAAAAGGCGCGTCTAAGCACAATGCGTGGTAAAAACGCCAAACCACTCAAGCCAAGTGATCGTTGACCGGTAATGTGTGTCTAGGCGTGCATTAATATATTTTAAAAAAAAAAAAATTTACAATTCTTTTAAGTAAAAACTTAAAGGTTGATTTACATTTGAAACTTATCTTTTTATTGAAAAATGTATAAAGTTGTTATAAATCTGTTTTAAATGTTTGATATGCATTATCTTTAATTGTTAAATATTTTTTGATTGATTGAAAATTAAAATAAGAAAACGTTTTTTTTACACATGTCTCACCTAAGCTCATATATCCTATAGCTTGACCTTCACGCATTGTCATACATTACGTCTTTGTTTAGTAAAATTTTTTTAGATTTCCAACTAATCAAATTTATTTTTAAATATACATTTAATTGTATTCACAATTTTTATTCATTATTAATCACAAATTTCATTGGACTCGACCATTTATAATCTCAAATAATGTACTTTTAAAGTTTAGGTAAACACCCCGTTAAAAACCCATAATTCAATAATTACCCCCAACAAATATATATTTGGTCAACGAGGACCCCTACGCATCAAAATCGAGATAGATCCCTCCAACTCCTTTCTTCTGCACCCCTCTACACCCTACTTGACTCCACCACACCCAACCCCCCACCACCCCCGGCCACCAATACAAGCACATTTCTATTTTTGCTGGGGTAAATTTGATAAGAGTTCTCCAACTTCATGCAGAGTTTCGATTGAGTCACTCAATTTTAAAAACGTTTCAATTAAGTTACTAAATTTAAGTATTATTATAAATCCATTCACCATGTTAGATGATGTTAATGTGATCAATGGAATCTAAACGTGTGGATGTCAATATCAAAAAGAACGCCACGCGAGGCTTATGGCATTCATAAGTCTATATAACATAGTTGCGTACCTATAACTTGTTGAATTTCGTCCTATGTGGCATTGCATATCCTTATAATGTCGAGTAATGCTATTCAATCATATTGGTTCTTATCATTAGTCTATGATTGAATGTCTTAAATATGACTCGTATATTTTCATTTAAGATGTTCAATTATTTAAGGATACAAAATGAACATCTAAATTGATGTTAAGCACCAATAAGATTGTTTGCTTTACTCTTTCATATCTCCACGAGCAAACTTCGTTAAAGCAAAGCAAACTAAAGCAAGGCAAACTCCGTTGATTGCTTTAAAGACGTCAAAAGAAGATACTGAATTTGAAAATATTGAAGTTTTGTGACTTGATTTGAGACTTCAAAAGTTGGGTAACCTCCAATAATTTATCCCTTTTTGGCATCTTCTTTCCAAGTAAAAGTTGCATACAACTTAATTTTCGCTTTCATTAATTTTGGTTAAAAATCAACCTTCTCTCATAGCTTCCACATTAATTAGGAAGAAACAAAAAGTCCTCCACAAACCCTAAAGAGTCTGTTTGAATGAAACTCCAATGAGAAAAGTATCAATTTTTTTCACACAATTCATGCTTCTACTTATCATCATTTCATCATTAAATATTAATGGCTTGCTTTCTGAACCGGCGCAACCAAAAACGGGTGATTATCTCAATAGTTCGACAACAGTCCCCGCTTTCCCGGTCCAGACGGAGCCTCAGACATGCCGGCTGGACCTGTCGGCCGAACTGTTTGGCGGCGTAAACGCAGCCTGCGGCCGCAAGCTGGACCGGAGCAGGTGCTGTCCGGTGCTGGCTGCGTGGCTTTTCGCTGCGCACGCCACTTCGGCTCTACAGTTGACACATACACCTCCGTCAACGATTACCAACGACATGCCAATGATTCCTGACGACTCAGAGAAGTGCGTAGACTCGCTGCAGGACTCCCTACAGAGCCGCAACATCCATATTCCCCAGCCCAATGCATCTTGCGACGCCGTCTTGTGCTTCTGTGGCATCCGGCTCCACCAGCTCACCTCCCTCAGCTGTCCTGCGGCGTTTAATATTACTGAGAATCACATAAACGCCACTCCCTCTGCCGCTGTGAGGAATTTGGAGCACAATTGCCGGAATTCTTCAAATGCCGGTTGTTCAAAGTGCATTGGTGCTCTGCAAAAGGTCAATCCCGTAAATTCAATTCTCCAAATTTTATTTGATAATATTTTAAGAAGATTTCGTTGAAGTTGAAACTAGTTTAATTAGTTTATACTAATTTTATTTTTATTTTTAACAAACTTCTATTAGTGAAAAGAATTTATTATTATTATTTTTTTTAAAACTTAAGAAAAACTTCTATTTATGAGATTAATGGAAACATAGAAATTTGTTTCTCTTGATTTATGAAAAGTCTAATTTACCCCTGTCAATGATTACTTTGCAGTTGAAAGGCGATGGTGAAAGTGGAAGAAAAGAAATTGAGCGCGAAAAGGATGATCGAGCAAGCAAGATGTTGAACCGAGATTGCCAGCTCATGGGCTTGACATGGCTGCTGTCTCGTAACAAGACGGCATACATACCCACTGTATCCGCTGTATTACGGGCCATCATGTACAGTACAGATGAGTCCAAGTGCAGTCTCGACCAAGAAAATATGCCGTTAGCCGTTGATTCCCTTCAGTTGGAGAAGTACGATTCCTCCTCATCGTCCCTCTCGACGTTGTGGCTTTCACAATTTCTTACATTTTCTATTCATATTTTCCTTTTAATATTCTTGGTTTAGAGGAATAAGTTGTTTAGGAATTTGGGATTTGTTTGTTGTTGCATGTCATGTGGCTCCCCTGCCCTTTTGTTCCTGCGATTTTTAATGTAGGGGTATCACGTGAAGCTAATTGACAAATGGTGAATAGGGTTACTTTTGTCTTTCTCACGGTAAAATTCACTTTGAGACAAGTAAATCCCACGAGACAAATTTCTAGCATTACATTTCGACTTACTATTTGTTGTACCTTATTCGAATTTTTTTACCTTAGTCGAATTTCTGAATGAAAGCTGTTTAATTAATTTTGAAATAAAGAAAATTCTTTTTGAACAATTTTATTCCACTAAATCCAATTTCCCATTTTATTATTAAGTAGAAGCTGCATTTTCTTTTAATAGTAGTAATTTTTTTTCTCTCCATATGACTTAACTATAATAAAGTGTTCAAGTAGGTCTTGTAGAAATAACTAGTAAGACGCAGGTGTAATGCACGTGCCATAGTATAATTGGTTATATGATAGCGTAAATATAAAAACAAAATTATTTGTCCTAAGTATTAGTTACATTAAACTTAAAACACTTGAAATGATGATATGTGACAAAAATAATATTAAGAGATTTGATTCAAAACTTATTTTCTAGATTTTGCGTTTGAAGGTCTCTCTATTCTTTTTAAAAAAAAGACATATCATAGATGATTAAGTGTTGATGCCCTGTTAAAGAGATAATGAAATTCAACCTAACCCTCCTTTTTCTACCTATTGAGGTAAGACATTATATCACATTCATCTCGTGCTTATAGAATTTACAATTACATGTATCAGTTGCACATGTATTTTATTTCTTTACCAAGACCCTATGCAAGACGTATGTAGTCAAGACTAATTAATTAATGATAATACACTGCATAATTTAGGATAAATGAAAGGTCTTTATCAATATTAAAACCACAACACAACGAAAACTTCCATCATAGAAGCAAAAAAAATGACAAATGATCACCTAACTTCATAAATTCTGTCGAATATCTTTTCGGCATGTTCTATGATACTGTACATTAAATCCATTAAAAAAATCAAAATAATCCACTTCAGAGAAGATGTTTGTCTATTAACACTGCATGATGTAGGAGGATTCTTCTGAAAATCATTGAATTCCTTCAATATCCATTTTGACGCCATAAATTTACC